GTTTCGCAAATGAGCAAGCGCTACCTTGGTTCTTTGGTGTATCGGAGTCTCTCCAAGACTGTCTTTCATACTTTGTTGCTGCGGCGCGTTTAACTGAACGGTTGATCAAGAGACGGTCAAATGTGTCTGCGAAATGTGCATGAAGTTTGCAATCTGTATGCAGGTAGCACCGAAGTAACGTCCACCTGCGTCCTCATCAGCTGCAAGGTTGGCCCATACATTGCACACAGTGAGTCATGGAACGTCTTCTGTTGGCGGCGTTCGATGTAGCATTTTATCTGCTTCTCCTTATGCGTCCACCATGCTTTCTTGATACGACGGAGCTCCTGAGTCAAATGCCTATCCAGTTTGGAAACACAATTTGATTTGCTGAGCCTCCAGGTTTCTGCTTATGCTTGGAAAATGCTGCATTCTACTCTGACACCAATTTGTCAATGTTGGCACCGTTGTGATCAAATCAGCCGGTCCGTTTACAGCTTACGCACCCGATTGTCTCCTCATCGGCAGCGGTTACTCTTTTCCATAAGCGGTGCCGCATTTCGCTGATTGTAGTAGTTGGCTCGAAGTCGTCAAGCCAGTTCGTCACCGGATTCTTCGGTTTGCTTCACTTCACAACAAAACCAAGGAATGAACATTGAATTTCCTTCGGTACACAGCAGAGGAATAATACATGAATTTCCTAAGATAGAGGTGTAATTTGGTCCGCACCAACTTGTTGGTAGTTCCGCACTCAACTTCACGCAGTACACTTGTTATGCAAATTTCGCGCATGTTACGATGGCTTACGGTGACTGAGTCGCGCAGGTGAGCGTGACCACTGAGTGAGTGCTTCCAATAGCTATATCACTCGCACCCTGTACCAAAGGATGCTCCTGATTGTCAAGGCGTGGGTGGCACACATTGAGAGCAGTAGGTCATTGTTCCCATTGCCAGAGCCGATACGACGTGGACCGGTTACGTCTGTTCGCACCATCGTATCACGCCCAACACTTGCTGAAATCACCCGTTAGGAACAGTCGGTCACTTCTTGGCAGAGACCATATAACGGGTGATGGCTGGGAGTAAAACTGACCCCTCGTTCATCAGGATAACACATGGTGGGACCATACCAGCAAATAAAAGCTTAATTTACTCCTTCCGAGTTATACGCGAAGTGTTGGACCGACGTGAAACTGATGAAGTTATCATACAATCCTATGCATGTGGTTCGCCTGTACATACTGCGCCTTGTCGAGCCGTCTTCTAGTCTGGTTAACTGTACAACCGGAAAAGACGGTTGCAGCTTGAGGAGGTCCGGTAAGTGGTAAGGATGCAGTGAAGCCTATTGGAATACTGACAACCACCGTGATCAGACAGAAGTTTATGGAACAATGGAACAATGGACTTAGAGGGGTAAAACAACTAAAGCTTTACGGCTGCCGTACTAATACTAATGTGTAAGCTGTGCGCCGTAACGACGTTTCGCTACCGTGCGACCTCAACAGTAGCACGCGAGCTGAGTACTTCGCGAGGACGCCCATCCCTTCGCGGATTCAGACCCGCGCCGCCGTGGGATGGTTATGATGAAACTACTCTATATAGAAGACTTTTTAACAAAATTTGCTCTACACCAGTGAGCCCGATGAGGTTGGTTGGCGGCATCCGGTTTCGGATTTGCCTGTCACTGTGGTCAGCCACAGGACGCCTGCGCCTACAGAGGGACCATGGATGGCTTGCGCTGCACCACCCACAGCTCCAACCACACACCCCATATCCAGTGTAAACCCGAAGGAATAAGACCGGGAGGCATGCGGATGGGAACCACGTCTCATCAACGGAGCCGGCCCACACTCCTTCACAGGCAAACACAAGCACGCTGTATTTGGGGAATCAAGCGCACACAAGGCGGTGGCTGGACCGTAGTCCGCTCCACACTGAGTGCATGGAACCGCTCTATGAGCCTAGCACGACCACAAGGACCGTGCACCCCGTCCCCTCCAGCAACGACCAACTGCCTCCTGGAGCCAGTATGAACGATGTAGTGGGTAATAGACAGGTAGGCACCTTGTCAACATACACATCAAGCGCAACCATACCAGGGATATCAAACAACAGCCAATCACTTTAAACGACAAGCTGAAATAAAATAAATCCAATAATGCATACAGATACGGTGGCATAACTCTTCGCTAAATTACCATATGAAGTATGTTGGTTAGCAACAAATCCGTGGTAAGTAAGAAATGTCCACAAGTTATTTAAAATGCTACAAACGCAACAAGATTACCGAAGATAAGCGCAATTAGTGTAAGCAACGTGGCCAGTTAATAGAACATTATTCAGGGAGGCAGAACAAACCAAATAAAGCGGAATGAAATTTATCCAGTTTAAAAAGACCTCGTTTAAGTGTAAGTTGGTTTAGCCCAACTGCGGTGAAGAAGCATCAAGAATGCAACATCAGCCTCAGCATGGGGCACACATACATACATGGTTGGCGGCATCCGGTTCCGGATTCGCCTGTCACTGTGGCAAGCCACAGGACGCCTGCGCCTACAGAGGGACCGATGAGGTATACGTAATATAACCTATATGTTCTAGGTAAATTCATAAAGAATGACGGCAAATGGAATGCCGCTATAAATCGCGTCTCCACTTGGTGTACACATACAAGAGGTGTAAAAAGCGGAACGATATCTGGGATTTGACTGTCAGTGAAATCGAGTACAGACACTTGTATTTATTCATCGGTGGTGAGTCATGTGCCATTAATCCTGCTCAAAGTATTTCTGGGTCCGCGAATTGTGATAAAGAATGACCAATATTTTTGGTGTGCAATAACTAGTAAGTCATTGGAAAACTTTTCAAGGGCACGAGTGTCCATATTGCATACGCTGCAGTTGCGACTTCTTCAGCTCAAGGGAGGCGTTCTCCAACTATCTCACAGTTGTTCCTTCTAGGCACCGATCACATATTGATGAACTTGGATTGCTAGCATGGGCACAACCTTAAAGAATGAATTAGCCGATTTCAATTTCCATTTAGATATCTTTACTACATGTCATGACTATTAACGAAATTAGCGAGTTTGATAAACCCGAACAAGGTTTTAGGTGTTGCTAGGCTTTGTTCTTCCGTTATTAGTTAAAAACCCTCCAGGAGTTTTGGTTGATGGAACCTCGTTTGAAGTGCGCCAAGGGGAATCAAAAATGCAGATAGGATAGTGCATCATTCTGCACACGATCCACACATAACCTACAAAAGATAGCTTTGCCAAAGTTACCAGTCAACTATCCGATAGACTTGTCATGAAACAGCAGTTTGGGAGCATCAGGCTGTCTTCTAGGACAATTGTGACGGAAGTCGCGACAGGTGCGTAGATCTTTGTCTGTCCTCAACCCATCTGTTGTGGGTAGGAAGCTGAGATTGGATAGCCTGTTTTACTCTCGGCTAGCAGATGTTTCTCCACACAAGTGTAGCTGGATAGTCGCATGCTGCCCTAGTTTATGCACACAAGTGTATTTTTTCTGCTGAGTTAAGCATTGGTTTCAGGACTGCTGCGGTTGTGAAGAAGACAATCGTCTGTGTCCTGAGTTTCAGACGGAAATAACAATGTTGGAGTTGCTGAAGGTACGATCAATGCGTTTGAGCTTGCTTGCTGAAAAATAAATTGCATGCAAGGGACACAATTTTTGCTCACTAAACAAGTGATAATTCCATAAGTGGAATGAAAGCCAACAAATAATGACTGTACAGCCGATTATGCGTAGCGCCCATAATTATGAGCTGAAACGACTGGCAATAGACGGAAGACGCACCACAGTTCTACGGGAGAACTAAAATGCAACGCGCAGAAGATAAGAACTAACGGCAAAATGCCACGAGGATTATGTAATCAAAAATTGTGAATGTAGGAGGATAGGACATTAGGATATGACGTTGAGAACCCTTTCTGCCTTAAATTAAGGTATACCCACGTGAAGGAAACCTTAAAGTGGCTATTCTAGTTTGTTACAGTGTCCTCCCACGGAACTTGTTAAGCGGTGTCCAAGAGACTTGTTAAGCGATGCTTTTTTACCCGTAATAAACCATTGTTCCATTGTTAAATCGTGGAAGCTGTTCGGAAGTATGCGGGTATAATTTCAGCAAAGCATAAAGCTATCACATAATCAATGACAGTTCACGAAAATTATGGTGCCTGTAGAGATGCCATATTAATAAATACTCCACTGAATCCTACGAATTCGCGTCTGAATGCGGAAAAATGTCTTTGCTTCTTTCGATCTGCCTCAGCGGTTTCCGAGCTGCCACTCCTGACAGCTGTAAAACTTCGATGGCCGTGTATATGGGGAGATCACCAGGGGAAATATATCCTATATTGAATACAAAGTGAAAATTGACCATTTGCTGGTGCTTACAATCGTGTACGTAATTAGTACCTTGCTCATTGAGCTCACTTGGCCCTATTTCGTTCCCATCGAGTGCTAGCTTTAGTCGGCAGCCCAAACGGTAGGAAATAAGGTGGCTTCTTGTCATTCCACCCGGCATTTTACTATTTGTGTATAGCTGGTTGATAAACACGGATTTGAATCAGTACGCGTGTATATTTTAAATGCATGTTGTTTATGTCAGATGTGTAGGTGTAAGAGAACAATGCAGCACACTGAACCCGCCGTAACTCGGGAGTGGAAAGAAAAGGAAGACACTAGCAGTGTGCCTGAATACTTTACCGACCTTTCGTCACCACGCGAGCATCCACAGTAGCGGGTGCGCAGGATATACTACGATGTTGCCCTTAGTTGCGCGCATTTGAGCCGGTGACCTTCGCTTTGCAAGAAAGGCGTCTAACCCTTTCGGCCACCGGCCGGCTCACCATGGGGTTAAAACTATTCGCTAAACTGACCATATTAATTGCGCATTCTATGGCATCTAAATACCATTGGATGACTACCGCTTGTAATTCACTGCGCAAGGCTGTAACTTTTCTTCCTACTACCATTTCATACGCCGTCTTCTTTTGTCAGGTCTCATGGGACAGCAGCGCTCTGGGATTATGGTTCTCCGAGCTGCTGGATCGGTGCACTCAACTCTTCTCTTGGTTACACGAAGGCAGACCAAAGTCATTCTGGTTGGCAGGGTTTTTCAATCCTCCGGTTCGTTATCCCATTCTTTCAATCCTTGCCAGTGATCTATGTGCTCCGTCTTTAGGTGGTTAATTTAAATACTCTTGTATTTCTATATGTGACTTTGCTGTATGGATATTTCTAGATCCGGAACACGGATCACTAGCGCTAGAAAAGCCCTTCATCCATAGTAAGGCAGTGGTTAGTTTTTTAAATTGCCCAACTTATCCCACATACACTCTGCTGAATGTTGCCTCATCATTTCGCTCGACTGCCCTGTGGTGTGCTCACAGACTCCTTCTGATTCCCATCCCCATTTTGAGAACTGACGACGCGAGGTAGTAGATTGTCGGACGTACTAAAGAAAAATTATGAGAATGAATTAATCACCCCATCCAGCACTATTTGCTGGAATACTACGATTGTGGAACAGGCACAGAATTTCAAATATGACATGTTGCCAAGCAAGTATACCCTTACAGCAGGCTCTTAATCCAAAAGTTTGGAGGGAAGAGGGATGGAAAATCTTCAACATAAGAGTCCAAACTTTGTTACAATTTGGTTGTTAGATAGAGCTGCTGTAGGAGAACATTGATGCGCTGACATTACGTTGTATACTGGTTTCTACGGGAGATATATTAAATCCATTCGTAAAACGTGTTCTTTTATGAACCGAGAATTACACAGTAACCAGTCCCAAATGCACTGGTACAACCTCGGCGCATCTGTTTAACACTACTTTGGCGACTGATTGTGAACATATACCGCCAATTCATCATCGACTCCCGAATGCATCCAGCGATGCAGCGGATGCAGTTGTGTTCGTGATCCACTACTTCAGCTAACTGAGGCCATGAAGCGCGAATGGTACTTAGGATAAATTGAAGCAGAAACCCATCAAAGGTGTATAGTTTACGAGAAATAACAACATATTTTAACCCCAATTTACTGCAATGACAAACGCGATGCGGGTCGAGTAAATCGATTGTGTTCAGTAGCTGTGTAGCACATGTGATCCGGGTTCTTTCACTTAACGGAATCGGCACTTATTCGACATACTGTCCAATGTTTCTCTGAAAACGGTCGTTCACCAGCGTTTTGCTTTCCAGTTCTGCAGGATGGCTAGTTACTGTCATCATTAAAGCAATTCTCGATTGGTGACGTAAATGACACTAGATGAAAATGGGTGACTTTTAACAGGCCGACGTCTACCCCGGGATATTCAGCAGCTGACAGCATCTATCCAGCACTTTTCCACATTGTACCCAAGTCCATTTTTGTTCAACGACCATTGTGGTTTATTGCTATTTTGCAGCTTTTAATTCCTTTGCTTTTCACAACCGTCTTCGACCACGGAACAGCAGGATTTATCTTCCTGAGCCCAGTAAACAATTGTCATCGTTTAAATACTCGTAATCAGTAATCGCTTTTAATTCCACCTGTAACTGCTCTAACATTTATCTATCGAAAACGAAAATCTACAGAGACATGCTGGTTATTTTCACAGATGCAAAGGCCAAAATCACCGAAAGCTTAATCCACAACCCACTTTCTATAAACGGCGATATTTTTGACCGATTTTACCCCTCCTATTGACAGTCTGAACATACAGCGAAGAGCATCAGACAATCAGCTGATCAACTTTGAGCGATGTCAGTGCCTACCATGTCCAATGACCATATCCACCAGATTCGACTCCTGTACTTGTCTGGTTCGTTCCCTGAGCCTATCTGATCACTTCGAAGTTATACTCCAGGCACATTTTTCATTTTTCACGTTCTCCTGCTAATAGCTAGTTAAGCACTCAATTGGGGTGAGCAACTCCGAAGTCTGTCCACTTCAGATACGACCCTAGTGATTGGATTGACCGAGGTCTACTTCAAAGTTTACCGAAGCGTCAATCGCGATTGCATCGCACAATCCACAGCGGATACTCCAAAAACGCAGCATCGGATCATAAGCAGCTGTGCCAATTATTGGGCTAGTGACCAAGAGGCCAGCCGCGAGAGACTACGCTCTGTGTTCCATTACAAGCTCAGCAACCAGGGTCGAAACTGGCGGTGAGTTTTAGTGTTAGGAGTCGGCAACTCAAAAATATCCTCCGAGCTGTTTAACTGTCCATGCTTCTAAATGGATGCGTTTGTACTGGGGAGCTAGTGCAAGTGACGCTAGCACACTTCTCCAAAACATCCGCTAATTCCCTAGTTAAACAACTATTGGGTTGAGGCAGTAAAACAAATGTGCGAATTCTGAGCATGTTCACATGCTACAATGTGTCGTGTGATTCTTCTCTAATATGCGTTAATCAGCGCAAATGCCGTCTATTTGCTTCCAAGGCTTGAATCTACCGTTTGCACATGGAGCTTGCAAGTGAATAGGTGATTCTATGGGCTGCTTTCCGTTCAGGCCACTGCAAGTTCGTCTTAGCAACGCAGCTTCAACATGAGCTGTTTCGGGTTTCTAAATTGGCCGACTGCTAACAGGAAGATAGGATGCATAGCAAACCGTTCTTTTCTCCAAAAATAACCACACAAGCCTATTAGATTCTCCACAGCAGTGCTCAATTATCTCAAGCTTAATGTTGCAATATTCTCCACGGCTTCAGTGTTACCCGGGTTCTAACGGTTATCATTTCTCAGTGCCGTTAGTTAACTATGGTCTGCCATTTGCTGTGATAATGTATTTTGGATGAAGTGTAAGCGATATGTTTCTTTTGGGAAATTAAAGCTACAAGCGCTCACGACATTAAGTAAACGGTACCCAGTTGTAACCTTTAGCAGTATTGTATAGGTGTCGTTGCAGCTGTGGGCTCGATGAGCAATTACATTGGAATAAATTTAGTGAATGCCCAGACTGCGGTTTCAAAAGGCAGGAGGATGCAGGGGATTTCTTATTTGTACAACAAAAGGTTCCATTTTGTCTTAGCTATAAAGACGACACCAATGATCCTAATTAGGAGAAAGGAAAGGTGCAGCCGAGGCTCCCGACATGAGGCATTATATGGATGCGGCAATTGAAGCCAGCATGCAGTCCCGCATACCAAAACATTCGACTAATTCCACATTGGGCGGAAATTATAATTAAAATTTTACACAACGAACTCAAGTAAACTGGTGAAATCTCCAGACTGCTAAATATCACCAAAAATGTTCAGCAGTCTGCTTGTGGCAAAACCAGATTTAGCTGTACTCTGAGAGATATCGCAGAGGCTAGGTCGATTAGTATGGATGGGCGAAAACAAAGTTCAAGCTTTCTCGTTACCACAACGGTTTAACTTCGTAGATTCTCGACGTGCGATTAAATAGCGAGGGTTTGATAACAGAATTCTAAATGTAGCTATGGGGAGGTAAACAAGTAACTTCTAAACTATTATGTAATTATGTACAGGACCTAAAAAGTGTACTACAATATTCACTACAAAATTCTTCCAGTTATATTTCTCTATCTGTTTATTTTTCATCTTGGTCAAATCACCCTTCATGTTTTGATGCTTCAGTCATATTCTCTCCCTGGGTACTCTTGTCGAGCTGCATGTCGTGCATTCGTTACTAGTCACTTTGCGTCGACACTGGTTTCCAAAAGAAGCTAGTTAACTTGCCATCCATCGAACACAGCTGTCAAACTTTACACCTTTAATACTGTAGAATATGCCGCTTTGACACTGGGTCCATTGTTCAGCACTATATAGCTTACCTTCTTAGTCTGTTCGGGGAGGAGAAGGTGAGTGCCAGCATTACCGTCAACAAGAGCATACAGCTGGCTCAAGTACTCGGCGGACAACCAGCTAGCCACTTTCATGAGGAAGCCGAAGGAATGGCAATCAGCTGCGAAGCACAGCCTGGTTAAAGATTCGTTTGCGTTGGACGGCTTGCAGCGCTATGACTGGCCGACTATAACGTGGAAATGAACGCGCTTTCTCCGCACGAAACGGACGCGACATTTCTCGTTATCCCTACATTTACCGCAGAGCGGTTAGGACCCTAACATGTAAACATCCATGAAATGTACTTCAAGGGGGCAACCGAGAGCCTGTACATTTCTTCAAAGCAACAAAGCCCATCCAGCCTTAAGATAAAAGAGGGATCCCAATCAGTACAAAATCTATAACTTTTACGAGTCATCTGAACCAATAACGGAAACAAGCTCCTCCTTCAGCAAATCATGATCCTTCATAAGAATACTCAACTCAATCCACAAGCACATCAAGTTGAATCCAAAGTGGCGCATACGCACAAATGCATGCCCATCGTCTTGACCAATTTTAAATCACAGCACGAAGACTCAGAACACCTGAATCGGTTGGTGCAGCGGTTAGACTTTGCGCTCAGCAAACAAACTACGGGGTGCACACGAGGACGTCCAAAGAACATGTGAGCTCAGTCACTGTAGGGTGCGGTGCGTACTAGCACGCGGCATCCATGGCTGGTTGGGGAAGTACTTTAACTCCTACCCACGCACTTATGTGGCATCAAGACACACAACAGAGAACTATGGGGCCAGAGATTTCCCATTCTCGTTCATAGTGCTCACTGTTGCGCGCAGACGACCGGACTTGACATGTGTTCCAAAATCAGACAGTATCGATTGCCTTCACTAAAGGTATCTGCATGCAAGCTAGCGGACATGTCCATCAATCTCACGTGGTGTAACCTAGGCTTAGCGGTGTTCACGTGTGATCGGCTGTAGATAATAGTACCTAGGTGAAATAATTATTGCGTGTGGTACCTCACTACGCGCTATCATGGAACAATGCGTTATTAATCGGTGGGTGTGGCCGAATTGCCTGTTAACTGCAGTTGATCGGCCTTAATGATAGGTTAGCGTAATCATCTGCACAGCAATGCAGTATGTACTGCAGTGAGCTTTGCGGAAGAGTACCGCGTTAACTGTGGTAAGTTTACGGGGTTGGCAACAGCTTGCATTTGCTGGTCTGTATGCAAGCGTTAGCATATTGCAGCCGTTGACAGGGTAAAGGAATACGTCTGTAAAAAACCGTCATGAGTTCGTGTGAAACGAAGCAGAAACGATGATCTAAACGTCAGCGCACTCCTCACCAAGATGCCAAAATGCGATGCATTGGATATGGTGAAACG